ACAATTGAAAAGTGCGAGTTTCAGGTAGCTGGGGAATAGACGGCGTCTACTGGTGTAGATATCACAAATCAGTAATGATGGCTACCATTCTTTTTGAATAATTCCATAAGGAAATAAAGAGTTAAAACTTATTGAATTAGCTCTTTATTGTTGCATATTTCCGTATACTGAATTATCCAAGAAAATTTTGTAGTGATTGCGCTGAGCGACTTTTGAGCCTATTCTTTTCTGATGAAGTGCGAGGAGCAAAGGAGTTACTTGTATTGCTTTGTGAAGGGTCAACCGACATGAGAGACAGGTAGATCTATGCCTTTTCCTTTGTGGTGCCATGTGAGCTAGCTTTTTTTTTCAGGATGGGAGAAGCAGGTGCCATACAAAAAATTATTGAATCTTCTGATGAGAGTTCGTTGAACTGCAGGTTGTTGGCAGCCTTTGCTCAGGTATGGATGTTTGTTTTATGCAGTTCCTACTGGAGTTATCCCGGGCAAAGAGCATTAGAATATCTGGCCTAGTTCTACAAGGTTAAGGTTCAAGCGCAATTTAAGCTACTGGTAACAGGTTGTATTTGTTGCAAAACAATTGAAGGGTGCAGCATGGGACTGCTGGGAATGACTTCCCTGTTGCTTCATCGGCCCTAATTTTATACAGATTCCAGTAACAACAATTTTTCAGGAAGCATGGGGTCGTGCGGCCTTACGAGAGTTTGGAGCTCTGGATTTTCTCATCTCGCGTTTGGCATCATCATCTTCAAACTCCATTGATCGCCTAGCAATCGTACAACCACTTCGGCATTTTGTTCACGATACAAACGGTATCACTCTACTCTTATAGAGTTTATTCAGTCATCCGTGTTTTATCTCAATTCTACTTGACGTAAAAATTACATAAAAAATAGAAGAAAACGTTATCTTTTTCTGACAGTAGGTTGATATATCATAATATTGTTTGAAAAAACCACTAAATATTATTTAATTTGGAAGAACTCTATTATTCGAGTGTTTGTTTGTCAGGATATTATGATAATGTATATCCAAGTGCAAAGTAAAATTTGTTTTCCCGACCCCTCCCCCTAGTTCTTCAGTTGTAGACCTAAAGTTACAATATTTTCAGGTATGGCTTTTTTGGTCCGAAACAAGATTTTTGTGGACACTGTTGTGAGGGATGTGGCCGAGTTCATAGCTAGTAATAAGCTTATATGTGAGGTTCGCTAATTTCTTTACTTTGCCATTTTTTGAAACCATCATAATTGATGCCACTCTATTTTTAAAATCTATTAGAATTTAAGCCGTTTCTTTTTGAAACACTTGCAAAAACAACACTAGCCTCTGTTAGATTTCAAATAGGCTCCAAAATAAATCCATTTCCGTTGAAATATTTGAAGCGGCGGCAACCTTCTGCGACAACCTGGAAGAAATTCGCTCAAATTTATTCTAGCTTTTCTAGTCCAAATTTTCCTTCTTAAAAAAAATTCATACTGCTGAAGTATTTTGATAAATGAAAGAAGGAAAACTTGATTTCTATTCACTATCTATCTTGCAAGTTCGAGTCAAAATTTCTTCATATCTCCAAATTTGAGTATTTCAATGAGTTTTGCTGTCTACTCATGTTTGAACCAATGTAAGTACATTATAGATTTATTGGATCATAAATTTTAGCCAGAAATCGTTACCGCTGAAGACGAGTTTCGACCAGATAGTCCTCTTCTCATGGAAATAGAATCTTATCTGCAGAAGAAGGGCGATAACGATGAGGTAGATTTGCACTTTTATTCCAATGATAGTCTTAAAATGTTTTTTCAAGGATTCTCGTGATTCACGTCTTCACAAGGATTACTCGTCTCTTTGGGCCTATTCGACGCCTTCTCCTAACAGATCGTCTTTCAGTTCGCCAATGTATAGTCCTCCTTCTAGTGGAGCTGGAAGTCCGGTATCTGGTTTTGGCAGCAGTCCCTTGGCAAGGTGAATTTTTTGAGAGTCCTCTCTGTGTACATCCAACAAATTAACAAACTACTAATACTATGTGTCTTCTCCTTCCCTATTTCATTATACCTTCTCCTACGTTGCCGATCATCTCATGTTTCCTTTTCAGTTTCGATGAGTAGCTGAAATAGGTTGAAAATTATTCTGTAGCTCTATTAGATAAAGTAACCCTCTGTCATTTTACCCTAAGCTATCTTTGAAATTCTTAAAAAAGAAATATCAGGATTCAGTTCTCGCTAAAACATCTACTTGCAAGAAAATCTGTCACAGTTTGTGACTATGAAGAAGGCGACCTACAGGTTAAAACAATTGCAGCCTGGGTGTAACCGAGGGCTTTGCAGAGTGTAGCTCAATTCATAGACCTATTTCACCATAATTCGTCTAACAGCATTGCATGGCAAAATGTTAGCCAATAGGTGAACAGAGCAGTGCAAGATTTGTTACACGGAGACAGGAATGCTGCGGTGGACCTGTGCTGCAATGCTCTTTAGCCCTTGGAAAAAGAGCATGCGACTGAGGTCGATAGGGCAGTGGTTAGACACCTGATATGAGAGAATTTAGAGAAGACCACCTTGAATCAAAGAATGTGGAGAGTTGATTGTGAGCAGACCGTACGTGAGCAGGGTGGGAGGATGAAAATGTTCTTTGACAATAACATCACTTTGCATTAAATTCTGCTCCTTAAAATATTTTGACATCTCCACTAAAATAACGAAAAAGTACCTATTCTCATAATGGTAAGAAGTCTAGTACAGTACCATGGGCAGTACCATGGGGATGAAAGAAAAGTGTACGAATAACCTCATGCTGTTTGTCTCGCTTTGTGAACTACGAGATAGTGTGCGATTAAATGTCCAAATTGAGCTGCTTTTGTAGTGGCAGTACTGATTCAAAAAAAAAGGGTTGTGCACCACTTTGTGTTTAATAAGTTTTAGAAGGGAAGGTAAACTAGCCAAGATTATGAAGGTTTGGTCTGATATAAAGTCTTTCATCCACCTCAAGCTCTTGAAAAACTTAAGTCGAAATGGTAGGCCAGCGATAAATGCTTCACCTCAAAAATTTGAACATCACAGACACAACGTTTAAAAACGAAATATGTGGCAGCTTCTAGCACAGTAATCGTGCAGCCTTTTCTTAAAAAAGCGGACTGCATTATCCGTTCTGTAGGATTTATGAAGTTCTAATATGTAGTAACTCTTTTTAAAATTAGCATTTTGAAGTCTAAAGTTTCGAAACCATCACTCTCAGGAACACTTTGAAAATGATTTGAGTTGTGACTCCCGAAATTGTGGCTTTAGGCAAAATGAAAAAGAACGCCCGCACAGCCTTTATGATTTTGTCTGATTCTGAATTTAAATTTTCTTTTTACTCCAAAGGCCGTTTTTGTCAAAATCAAAGAAATCCTAGAAAACCATAACTTTTGCCCATACGATAAATGCTATTTGAAGGAAGAACTCTCCCTCTAAAAGGTTATGGCTGGCACAGCTACTGATTTTTTTTTTAAAGTTAGAAGCGGTT